TCGTTCATATTTGAACTCAATCACTGCCTCTAAAGAGTGGTCAAATCGCAGCTTCATCACTCTGCGAAGAGGTTTGGTCACATCCAACCGAACCCTAATAATGAAAATACCTACCCAAACATTCACCGTCTGCTTCTTCCATCACATCAATGCATTGACCTAACCTATTTCCAATCTAGCACCCTGTCATAGCAGTCATTCTATTTAACGGAAGATTGTGCGCTTGAACCCAAAAATTAGCATTCTGAAGAACCATTCTGTTCGGTGCTCTATTACCATCTGGTGTTTCTAGTAAGACCAGGTTTTTATCAAAATTCCAAGGTCCCCCTCGTATCACCATCTCCTTATCACGCATAGTTGTGAACGTGAATAAGAAAAGATTATCTTGCAGGTCCTTCACACCCACTCTCGCATTGTACCCCTGGCCCTCAACATGGTTTGTTTGAAAGCCTCATGGTTGAAACCTTGATCAGTAAGTATTGTCCCTACCAAACAGAGATGGAGCCGCTCGTTCATCGTTGTCGTATCATCTGGTTCGATTTGAAGGCCATCTTGTTATTCATTTGTTAACGACAACACCTTATGAAAAGAACAAACCACTTCCTCCACATTTTCCTTCACAGCCATAAAATCCATGTTATCCATCATGTTATCCATCATAGATAACCAGTTTCAAAAACCAACCCAAACGGCAAACAAGTAGCCGCCAAGAAAACCTAGAAGAAAACTAGGAGAAAAAACACTAAGCCTAGGCAGGGAGTAGACTCTCACTGAAAAGTCGGGGATACTATTTTACTGTGGTTTAGGCGCATGTTTACTAACTAGGAACATATAAATGCTATAAACACCATGTGGTGTGGGGAACATATACATTTTACTTCAATTTTGTTCACCACAGGCACAGGACCCAGAAAAAAAGGTTCATTAATTACTTTTTTTTTTCTTTTTTTAGTTTCGCCATTACAGAATTTTATATTACTTTGAGAAATAGAGAGTTTATGTTAGTTTAAGATGTAGAGTCGACATGCCCAAGATCTAAGATGATGCAAAAAAATTAATTATATTATGTTCTTGGAGAAATGGGAGCATAAATAACATTATAATGTTATACAAAGTTATTATTTATCAGGGCCTTCTCATCAAGTATGCCAAAATTTGAAATGTTGATTGTAGGGCTGCAGCAATGAAATCTTTTGATTTATTTTGCTTTTAAACCAAGCTGTACTTGGACGACCAAAAAGTGAAATTGACCCTTATTTTTAATTTTTCATTTTGGTTGTGACACAGTTTATAAATTAAATTTATAGTGTAGAATCAGAAAAATTGTTGTGCCAGCGGAAATATAATTAAGCCAACACTTTTAAATTAAATTTAAAGGATTTTTTTTGTGTGCAGGAATACCATTAAATTGTTGTGCTCTGCGTTACGGGGTGAATGGGAGGCACAAAGAAATACTATCAAAGAAGATTGTTTTAATTTTGGTGGTCTAAAAGTTAAATAAGAACAAATTGATCACCAATGATACAACCCAAACCAAACAAAAGAGTAAAATTTAATAATTAGTGCCAACTTGATTGTATTCCTGTTTTCACATATAAAGCCATAATGCCACCAAAACTTTTGATGTACCTGAGGAGACACATCATAACAATAAATAAATAAACTAATAAAGATTATCATAATATTAAGATGTTATGTATGAATGAAATCATCACATTGCATGTATACAATACTGGAATTAGCAAGCGATACAAAGAACAGATATTTAGTTATATACCCATTCTTAGCACTAATATTATAAATAAACTCTACACCATTTAATTTCTATAAACAAACCCAAAAAAAAACCCAAAAAATTATAGCTAGCCCTATTAAATTTAATTTTGATTACTAAATTACTTTGATGCCCTATTCAGTGTTTTGGGCTTTTTTTTTTATGAAGTTCTGGGGTTGAGTTTGTTTTAAGAAATCAATGGCAATTTTGTAATTTAAAAGAAGTTAAAAGCCTTTTTGTTATATTGTAAATGGGCTTTGAGTGTGTTTTTGAAGTTCATTTGATATAGGATTTTTTTTTTATAATTTGGGCTCCTATATTGGGTATAATAGTGAATCTCTCTACAAAGAAAGTAAACGAAGTCGTTGTGCACACCACACCACGCATGTCCACAACTATTATTTACAAAGATGATTCTTTTGTTTTTGGTCGTCCACCCCACAACTTGAATAAAATCAAATCAAATTAATCCAAGCATGACACAATCCAAACTAAATAAAACACAACCCAGTAAGTACCTAGACACAAGAAAACAAACAAATAGAGGAAAAGAAAGAAATATTGAGACAGTTGAAGAAAGAAACTAGGAATAATATTAGTAAAGAACAAATACACGAGAGGACCCACCTTGTTCGCATATATTATATATCAAGAAATCAATAGACCAATTCAAAGGAAACATGTGGCACATGAGAAATCTTGGGCCAATCTTCTCCAATGTTGCGTTGGCATCTTCTCTCCAATTCAGGACAATCATCAATCACAAGTTCTCTTAAGGAGGTAAGAGAATGCATTCCTTCTGGCAGAGACGACAATTTCTGACATGAACCAATGACAAACTTTGTGAGTGATGTGAAACTTGTCAACCACTTAGGTAATGCCTCCAAATTCTCACACATGCCAATATGCAAGAATTGAAGGGTGTTAGCCGCTTCTTGAAACCATTCAGGCAATGCCACCATCTGTGGTAAATTTATAATACACAATTTTTGGAGCCTCAGTGGAGTTCCTTGATAGTTTACATTCCCCAAATCCAATTGTTCACATTTCTGCAGCACCAGAGTCCGTAAGGAAGCAAGATAGCTCATTTCAGGCGGCAAAGAGGTTAAATTACTACACTCGATAATACAAAGAAATTGAAGTGATTTCAAGCATCCCACCCCATTCTCTGTAAAACTTATTTGTTTTGTGGTTAATGTATATGATGTGAGGCTAATCAATTTGCTTATATCTCTGGGCAACTCTTCAAGATTCTCACATCCATTAAGATATAGAGTTTGCAAGCTATGCAGTTTGCAAATTGCATTGGGGAGTTTCGTTATTGCTTCATTAGAACTCAAGTTCAAATATCTCAAATGTTTCAAGGAACCAATGGAACTTGGCAACAGTTGTAATGAACATCTATTTAACCCAACCACTCGCAAATACTTGAATCTTGAAAAGCAAGTGCACATGAAGGATTCATCAATCTTTGTTTCCTGTGCTATTATAGTCCGCACTTTGTTCAACTTTTGCGAGGTTGTTGAAACATTTTGGCCAGCTTCCAAAAATGTCAAATGTCTAACATTTTCAGATATGTCTTTGGTGTTTGCAGACTTCACTGTAAAACACTCCCCTTGTGCAACAGATTGTACAAGATCATGGATAAGATCATGCATATCAAATATGTAGAACATATGATAATCAATAACGTTTTGAAAGAAGGATCTCGCCCATAAATCCTTAAAATATAGCTCCCCAATGTCTTCCAACTCCATATTCCCTTGAACACGAGACTGATCAAGGATTCCATGTGCCATCCAATATCTGATCAAATCATAACTACTAAATTCAAACCTATCCTTTTGAAGATGGTAACAGTAAGCAAGACATTGTCTCAAATGAGGAGGCAATCGGGTATAACTCAATCTCAAAGCAGGTAAAATGTAACCAGCATCTTCTTGTTTCAATTCCCATATCTCAGAATCTCTCACCAATTTCCATTCGCGCTCATCGGTTTTTGAGTATAGTTGACTCCCTAAAGTTTTCACTGCCAATGGAACCCCTCCGCACTTTCTGACAATATCCTTTCCCATTTCAAAGAGGTTAGGATAGTCTTTATCACGTCCCTCTTTAAAAGCACATTCTACAAACAAAGACAAACAATCCTCGGAAGAAAGAAATTCTAAATTAATGTTTGTTGGAATGGTACCCATCATCTCAGCAACCGAGGTATTTCTTGTCGTCACTAAAATCTTACTTCCTGACTTGGCTCCCTCTATCAATAAATCTCTCAACTCACTCCATTTAATAGGATCCTCATTCCAAACATCATCCAAAACAAGCAAAAATTTCTTATCCTTTAAAGCATGACGTAGCCTTCCTTGCAACTGATCCAGACTCAATTTATCACTCATCTCTGTATCTGATGCAGAACTAAGAATCATCTTTATCAATCTAGTAATTTCAAAGTCCACCGAAACAGACACCCACATCCTCTTTTCGAAATGCCCAACGACCCTTTCATCATCGTACACCAACTTGGCAAGCGTGGTCTTCCCTAAACCTCCAATCCCCACTATAGGAATAACAGAGACATTCCCATTCCCACTTTGGTCAACCTCACCTTGTTCCATCAAGAGATTTATAATTTGTTTCTTCTCAGACTCTCTACCAATAACCTTTGAAGCACGAACGAAGGAGTGGGTCACATTCACTCTTTCATGATGATCACCACCACCTCCATGATGATCAATACTAGTGAGAGAATCAAATATAGCCTTATTGGACTTGAGCTCATCTAACCTCTCTCTAATCTCCTTCATTTGATGACCTACTCTCAAACGGAATGCGATTGGATTAGAACCAGAAAAGAAACGGCGTACCTTTCCAGTTGTGCCATGACATGTTTCCACCACTTCCCTCCGCAAAGCTTCGCACTCAAACTCATCCAACAAGTCCAGCATCGAGAAATACATCTTTAAGCTGTCTTAGCCAACTGCGTATCTGCTGGTTATGAGCTTGCTTCTGTTCGGCATCCAAGAGAACATCTTTGATGGTGGACATTGTGCGTTCAAGCTTTTGCAGATCAGCTTTAACGCCCCATGCCAAGCAGATCTGCTCAGAAGCAATGGACCCGAGCTTTTCAATGAGTTTGGTTGCCAATGGAAAGGCAAGATCAGCCATGGTTCTGTTGAGGAGGTGAATACAAGGGAATTGGGATATATTGTTTTTAAACGGAGTATATGACTTTTAATTAACTGAAACAAAAATATGTCTTCATATAGAAAGGCAACATGAGGGGAAGACAAAATAAAAGTATAAGATACCAAAGTCTCAATTACAGGACAACATGTCACCCAAAGACGTTGCAGTCCAGATTCCATGAAGCGTAAAGAATTAGGGGCAAGTCTTTTAGTTCACTGTGGAAGTCTCAAACTTGCTAGCTAGCTAGTGAAATGAATCCAAAATTTCCAAAATTTTATTCAGAATTAACATATCCATCCAAAATTTCCAAAATCAAGACCAGCATTGAGGGGCATACATGCAAAAAAGAAGAGCTAGAATTATTATTATTTTCATCTCAAAATCAAGTAAAATTA